CCAAACGTTTCTCGGACCATCGCGACCGCATCCCCGAAGACATTTTGCATGAACTGCGGGCCTTGGGCTGTGCTGATCAGCAGACGGAGACCGAGGAGCTCAAGCGGAAGCAGAATACCGAGGAGCTCATGCAGCAAAAGCGAGACAAGACCGAGGAGCTCATGCAGCAAGTGCGAGACCTCGGCCGCCACCCGAAGGGGTATGCCGGGCGTAGCCTCGAGAGCAGGGCGCCGAGCTCCAGGCCCACGCCGCTCCTCAGTGCGCTCCTCTTCCGTTTGCGAGATGTTTTCCAAGATTTGGTTGGAGGCCGAGAAAGACGGACAGAACAAATCCAAGTAGCGCGGTCATCATCCCATCATCCTCCTCAATCATCACATCATCATCATCATCATGGCTTCGCCGAGCACCCCGGTGGAGACTCAGGTTTACGGGTCCGTGCCCATACTACTACTACTACTACTACTACTACTACTACTACTACTACTACTACTACTACTACTACTACTACTACTACTACTACTACTACTACTACTACTACTACTACTACTACTACTACTAACTACTACTACTACTACTACTACTACTACTACTACTACTACTACTACGACTACTACTACTACTACTACTACTACTACTACTACTACTACTACTACTACTACTACTACTACTACTACTACTACTACTACTACTACTACTACTACTACTACTACTACTACTACTACTACTACTACTACTACTACTACTACTACTACTACTACTACTACTACTACTACTACTACTACTACTACTACTACTACTACTACTACTACTACTACTACTACTACTACTACTACTACTACTACTACTACTACTACTACTACTACTACTACGACTACGACATCACACTAAATCCATTCATGGGAGTGCCTGTTTTGGAGCTACATTCATTGATGCAAGTGTGTCGTTTGAGGCTCAACCCGTTGATAGCAGTGTCTCGTTTGGAACCACATCCGTTGATAGCAGTGTCTTGTTTAGACCTCAGTGCATTTATACAAAGATCTCGTTTGGAGATACCGTTATCGAAAGCAGCGTTTCTTCTGCTAGTACCACTGCCCCCATCACTCCTACTCGTTCACTCCACACACTACAACTACTACTTCACTGTTACCACTACTACCATCACTACTACTTCTACTGCTACTACTACTGTTACTATTACTTATGCTGCTGCTGTTGCTGCTGCTAGTGTAGCTATTGCTACTGCAACTACTGGCAGTGCCACTGCGACTGCCGCTGATGTTGCCACTGCGACTGCCACTGCGAATCCGAATGCGACTGCGAGAACACAAGAATTCTACAACAGCGCTCTTACATGAATACCACAGGCAATGTTTCCAGCTATGCTTCTACACATCGCTGTTCGGTTGCTTTGCCGGGATATTTGTTTCACACTGTTTTCGGGCTGACACGGGTCACCCCTGTGCTGTTTCTCGCCGTAAAGCCCCACGCTGGCGCCTAGCTTACGAGTGGAACACGTGTCTTTTCTCACATGGTTTTTTTCCCAGGGCCAAGAACCAAAAGGCACCATCTCTGAGTGGGGATCACGGCGCCTAGGAGTCAAAGGAAGCCGTTCTCGGGCTGAGGCCACGGGAAGGATCGGTGGCGCCCAGAAAATCAAGCGGAGCGCCTTCCACGCCCACCTGAAGGACATGCGCTTGGCCGGGGCGGCGGCGCCCTTGCCGCGGTCGTCGTCGACCTCGTCGGTGTCGTCGTCGACCTCGTCGTCGTCGTCGTCCTCGGGCTGCGGCCGCGGGGGAGGGTGGGTCCCTGTGGCGAGCGGCGCCCTGGAATCAACAGGCGCAATTTCCAGGCTGACCCAGAGATCCAACGTATTGAAAAAATCAAGGGGGACGTTTTTCGCACATTTCGGCCTCCAGAGGCCCTCGCCGAGCCTCGGGACCGTCAAAAAAAACGACTCAGGATGAAAAACTGGTCCTGGGGAATGGGTCGAGACTTCGGAGACCCCATATTGAAAAAATCACGACATCGGATCTCTGGGGAGGCCGCGGGGGAGGGTGGGTCCCTGTGGCGAGCGGCGCCCTGGAATCAAGAGGCGCAATTTCCAGGCTGAGGCCACGGGGGAGGGCGGGTTCCCGTGGCGACCGGCGCCCAGGAGTGCGTGCGAGATTGAAAAGTAGGGCCTGTCCAGCAGGAAGAGACGGTGTCGAGAATTCAGGAGGCCTCATTCTCGGACCTGGTCCGACTTTGAACCAGAATTTGGTCCGGAATCAGCTCCCTCTGTTAAATTAGTGCTCGAGTTTTACATTCGTGTGCCACTTACAACTGTCGCATACAATTTAACACTGTCGCATGTTAGTTTATATTTTAAAATGCCACGTGCAATTTACAACTGTACGCGACGCTTGAATTTGATTAGGGCCTCCACGGGCGCAGGCCAGGAACAAAAGAACAGATGACCTCAGACTGGCCCGCTCCCCCTCCCGTGGCTCTGCGCGGGGGCGCGTGCGAGTGTGAGCGTGTGAGCGGTCGGTGTGCGAGTGGCTCTGAGTGCGGGTGGTTCTGCGCCTGAGTGGGCGAAAGGGTCTGAGTGTGAGTGGGTGGTCGGAGTGTGTGTGTGTGTGTGTGAGTGGTCGGTGAGTGTGAGTGGGTCCGAGCGTGAGTGTGTGTGTGTGTGTGGGTGGTCGGTGTGTGAGTGGGTGGTCGGTGAGTGGGTCTGAGTGTGAGTGGGTGGGTCTGAGTGTGAGTGGGTCTGAGTGTGTCGGTGTGTGAGTGGGTGGTCGGTGAGTGTGTGTGTGTGTGTGAGTGGTCGGTGTGTGAGTGGGTGGTGTGTGGTGGGTGGTGAGTGTGAGTGGGTCGGTGTGTGAGTGGGTGGTGAGTGAGTGGGTGGTGAGTGGGTGGTGAGTGTGAGTGGGTGGTGAGTGTGAGTGGGTGGTGTGAGTGGGTGTGAGTGGATCGGTGAGTGTGAGTGGGTCTGAGCGTGAGTGTGTGTGTGAGTGGTCGGTGAGTGTGAGTGGGTCTGAGTGTGGGTCTGAGTGGGTCCGAGACGGGTGCGCTCGGAGTGTGAGCGAGTCTGCGTCTGGACAAGTCAGAGAGTGTGTGTGTGTGTGCGTGTGCGTGTGCGTGTGCGTGTGCGTGTGCGTGTGCGTGTGCGTGTGCGTGTGCGTGTGCGTGTGCGTGCGTGCGAGTGCGTGATAGCCGTAACCTTGTCTCAGGATGCGGGGATAAGTTCGCGACGCGGCAGTTTGGGCGCCCCCCCGCAGATGGTAGAGCCAATAGGGTTCAGCCGCATCGGGACCGCCGGGCCCTCTTGAGGCTCCTTCGGGCCCTCTGAAGGGCTTTCGGAGCCTCACCGTGCCGCCTCTGCGACCACCCTCGCCTTCTTCGGGCTTCTCGTGGGCGCACTTCTGTGTTCGTTTCGGGGGGCCTCTCGGAACCCTCTTCGAGCCGCTCTGGGGTCCCCTCAGGGGCGAGGGGCTAACCTCTTGCCCAATTCCGGATCATCTTGGAGCGCGCAGGAGCCCCTCCCGAACCCATCTTCGGCCGCCACCTGGCAGCCTGTCGGAGCCCCCGCGTGGCAGCGGGGCAAGTCTGGGGTCCGTCTTGATGCTCTTGTTGGGGCTTCTTCTGGACCCATTGGAGCACTTTTGGAGGCCATTTTGGCATCACTCTGGGAGCCGTTCCTGAGACTCCTGCGGCCTTCCTCTGGGGCCTTCTCAGGGGACGTCTTAGGGCCCTGTCGGTTGTTCGCTTCGAGGCCCTTCGGGGCTTTTCATTTTCTGTTCGGGACCTTACCCGGGATCTCTTGGGGCCACTTTGGGGACATCTTCGGGCCGTCTTGGGACGCCTCTTCAGGCCCTTCTGTGCCCCGCCCTCTGCCTTTTTGGGCCCTGTTCGAGCCTTTCGAGGCGTTCTTGGGGTCGTCTTGGACTGCCCTTCGGCGTTTTCCTGGACCCCCCTTGGGGCGCTCTCGGGGTCTCGTACAACACCTCGTCTTGAATCGTCTCTGTTCGGCTCATGCTCTTGATTCATGTGCCTTGGTCCCCATGTTCGAACAATGTTAGGGTAGCTCTGGCCGTTGCGTGTTTGCGTACGTATGTGCACGCAGCTGTGGCATTGTCAAAGGCCAGAGCTTGTTAAACCCTACGGGGGCGAAGCCCGCGCGTGGTTCTAATGTATACATACACAACTATATACGTTGTGATTTCTGAACTTCTCGGTGCCTGTGAAGGCCTCCATAGGCTTCTGGTTTCGGGAAATGCATGGACCTCCCGAGACCTCTGGGAGCCTGCGGGGGCTCGCGGAGGCGTAGGAGGCGGAGGCTGAGAAGGATGAGACTGAAGATTGCGTAGGATTAGTGATGTGAGGAGGGGAAGGACGAGGTGAAGGTGAAGGAGGTGGAGGAGGAACATTAGTACCATGCAGCGCTGGTGAATCAATATGGGTTTGATGATGACGATTAGGAGGAGGAGGAGCAGGAGGAGGAGGAGGAGGGCGACCACGACGGCGGCGGCAACGACGACGACTAACCATTTGTTGGGGAAGCGTGGTTGTGAGTTGGGTGTCGTGCCCCATCTTTCCAGCTTTGAGGCATCGTATCTGACTGCACGCCAGACTTGCACCAATGCGTCACGATGCGAAGTGCATCTGAGAGGTGACACGCTCGTCCATTTTGTCACCAGCCGATCTCAGTACGATATCTCCCTCCTTGCGCTGTCCTGGCACACCTCTCATACATATATATATATATATGTAGGTGTATGTGTATATATATGTATATATATATATATATTATTCCTCGTTCATACTTGGTGTACCCCGCATATCTACCGATCTTGTTGTCCCTCTTTTTGTCCTTCTCCATCTCCATCATCTCCTCTATCTCCCAATCCCCTTCCTTCTCATTCCCTTCATCTATCCTTTTCCCTCTTTCTCTCCCAATGCCCTTCCCGCTCGCCCTTTACCGTTTGCTCTTTCCCTGGCAACCATGTGGCCGGGGCCAGGAGGGGTGCGAGAAGACTATGCACCACATCGTCGAGGAAATGGGACTGCAGGATTGTGGCTGAAGAGAATCAACTAGGGAGAAGGGGTTTTGGAGGAGGAGGGGGAGGTTGAGGCGGAGCTGGATGAGCGCGGCAGGTCAAGCTTGACCACACTTTGGGGGGCCTATCCACGAGGCCCGCACAGAGAAACATTTCAAAGTGTCCCCTCCTGTCTCCTTAAAGTTCTTGTTGGCAGATGATCACATGTGTCGTCAGTCCATCGATGTCGCGGCCGGTTGGGCAGCCCTCCGCTTGTTCGCCGGTTCCACTCTTTCCATCAGTCCAATTTCTATCAGTTTCTTGATGCTAGCAAGCGGCAATTGGTATTTTATGTCAGCTTCTGGTGAACCATGGTCGGAATTTGAACTCGAGTTCGTCGAGAGGCACAATTGAACGTTACGGCGCCGCGCGCCCATGCCCGCACGCAGTCGCGCTCCTCCCCCTCCCCTCCTCCTCCTCCTCCTCCTCCTCCTCCTCCTCCTCCCTCCTCCTCCTCCTCCTCCTCGCTCCTTCTCCTCGCTCCTCCTCCTCCTCCTCCTCCTTCTCCTCCTCCACCTTTCTGCTGCTGCTCATCTTTCTCTCTCGGCTCATGGCGTCTTGCGTGTTTCCTGTCCGTCGAGCCGAGCATCCGCTGTGGCGCCTCTCGCTGCTTGTTGGCCTCGAGGCCCGGCCCGCTTGCCTCTCCTGCACGGGGGCCTGGTTGGGGAGCGTGCCCTGCGCGAGGCACGACTGCCCTCGCAGTTGCCCCCCTTTCCTCCTCTTGGACCTGCCTCTTCGGAGGCAGGCCGTCGTCCTGGCCCCAGTCCTCGCCTCTCCTCCGGGCCCTCTCGGATCCTCTCCACTCCTGGGCCTCTCCGCCGGCGCAGCCGGCACGGCGCTGTGGCCGCGCCCGCCCGGGACTTCGCACGCGACGAAGCTTTTCAGAGGCCAGCAACATATGTACACGTACGCGGTTAGTTTCCCCTGGAGTGCGGTTCAACGCGGACGTTCGTGCAGGCAAGACCGCGGAGGGCGTACATGTACATATGTCGTTGCTCGCCCAGCTTTGTCTGGGCACCTGGGCGCTCCTGCAGTCCAGGCGCTGGAGCAGGGAGCTCTTTGGGCTCAGGAGGGGCTCGGGTCTGCGGGCCGGTCCTCCGATTCGGGCCCGGGGGGCCTCTTCGTGGCCGAGGCTCGCCGTGGCCAGACGAGCCCGTCGTTCCTTACTCGGTGCTCCTCCTGCTAGCACGACGGCCGCTGTTGCCGACGTGGGCTCCTGGCAGCCGTTGGTCCACCCGTCGGCGCAGCCATTGGCTCGATCTCGTTCTTCTGACCCAGGCTGCTCAAAGTCCCAACTCCAGAGTCTGAGAGGCCAACATCGGCGCCCTGGCGCCAACCCGCTGCACCCGTGTAGGTGCCTTCTGCGGGACTGTCTGTCTGTCTGTCGGCGCAACCCGCCAGGCCCCGCACGCGTACGGCATCCTCGACGTCAGGGAGGCCTCGGTCGGCGGCAGGACGCCGGCACCGCTGGCGAAGAGGGGGGCTGCTCGGCTCTTCGGCTGCCTCTCTGGAGGAGGAGTTTGGGGGGGGGCGTCGAGAAGGATGGAGGAGGAGGAGGAGGAGGAGGAGGAGGAGGAGAAGGAGCAGGAGCAGGAGGAGGAGGAGGAGGAGGAGGAGGAGGTGCTGGAGGAGGAGGAGGAGGAGCAGCAGCAGGAGAAGAAGGAGGAGGCAGGGTGCCGGCAGAAGGATGCTTCCAAGCTGCGGCGACGCACTCCGGCACTGCTGCCCTCGAAGATAACGAAGGAGACGGTGCCCAAGACGCGGTTCCTGGGGGCAGGGGAGCCAAACGCTGTTTGGGCCCAAGACCTCGCAGCCAGTGCCGAGGCGGCTCCCCGCGCATCCGTCGCCGGGGGCGGGCCTTCTGCGCGCCGAGGGCCTTGGTCGGAGGCGGCGATCGGGGCGAACAGCCCAGGGGCGGGCACGACACGCATTCGTCGGGGAGCCTCGCCGGAGACACGGAGCATCGGCGCCCCGGGATAGCCGGAGGCAGCGATTGAGAACCCCCTTTTCTGGCGCAGCGGTCACGCATCCAGCGCCTGGAAGCGGTGGCCTGGCACCCTGGCACCTGGCCGTTGCTTCGCATTTCTCTGGCGCCCACTGGCCCCTGGAGCCCTCCCGCTGCGGCTCCAGAGTGGGCGGCAGCGAGGCGGCCACGCGGCGAAGCCTCGGCGGAACCCCAAGTGGCCGGCGGCATGCGGCCACGGGCGGCGACGCAGCGAAACCTCGGCGGACCAGTCCTTGTCCTTGGCGGCAGAGGCAGGGCCCCCGAAGGGCAAGCGCTGCTTGCGGAGTTGCAGCGTTCTCGCCTTGTCGGGCCCGCCGCCCCGTGGCCGCCCCGTAGCCGCCTCGTTGCCGCACACTCGGGGGGTTTGCTGAGGTTTCGCCGAGTCGCCGCCTGTGGCCGCCTCGTTGCCGCCCACCTGGTGGGTCCGCCGAGGTTTCGCCGCCTCGCCGCTCGTGGCCGCGTCGCGGCTGGGCCGAGGGCTGGCGATAGGCGCCGGAAGGGGAGCCAGCCCGAAGGGGAACAACGAAAAGACAAGAGTCTGAGGAGAGGAAGAGGTAGAGGAGGAGGTAGGCGTCAAGCAAGGAGGAAGGGTGAGGAGGGCGAGGGCGAGGAGGAAGAGGATGAGGTAGAGGAGGGTGGCGACGAGTAAGGAGGGCGGTTGAGGAAGGCGAGGGTGTGGACGAGGTGAGAGAGGGTGAGGAGGGCAAGGGCGAGAAGGAGGAGGGGGCGGAGGCGGAAGGGGTGATTCGGCCCCAGGTGGCGCGTTTGCAAAGAAAAGCCAATGTTTTTCCCATGCCATGAACTATGTTTTTTTAATGGTCTCGGCACTCACTACATTTTATGTGTATATATAAATACACATACATAGTTGCACATTCATTTTTACACACACACACACGTATATATATATCTATACATATATAGGGCTGCCGTCTTTGCCGCTGACCCCAGCCGTAGTCTCAGCTGTAGTAGATGTAGTAGCGATCGTCTCGTCTGTAGTGGCAAAGGCAGTCGCAATCGCAGTCCTTATCGTAACATTCTGCGGCCACATGGAAGTTGGCATGAGGCTGCGCAGCCAGGGTCTAAGACGTCAGCGCCCTTTTTGAGAACATGTATGTTGGCGTGCGTTGGTTGAGGCCAATGATCCGTATACATCTCGCCTCAGGCATGGCGTTTGGCAGAGGCTAATAATCCGTAGGCATCTCATCGCAGGCACTTGCATCACATACTTGGGAGTTGTACGGCATATCGGGAGTCTGTACAAACTGTGTTGGACAGTTGTCTTGGTGAGTTTTTTTTGCCGTGCGCGGCCCTTTCGGATTCGTTTGGGCGGAGCGGAAGCTGCATGCACTTCTATCACCGAGCGGCGAGACCTGGTCTGAGCCGTCATGCGTCACTTGCCCAGGAGGGGAGGAGGTGGGGAAACAGGACAGGACAAGGAGAGAGGGGACAGAAAAGGCGAAGGGAGGGAGGACGTGGAAGGCAGAAGGGACGGAAGTGGGCCCGCCGCCACAGGGGCGGCCGCGCCGCGAAAGGGGGCCCCGCGCCGCCGCCGCCGCCGACGACGACGCACACACACAGCACACACACAACGCACACACGCACACACGCTCACATATACACATAGTATACACATACACATCGACATACACATGCACACGCACAACACACAATACACACAACGCACACACGCACACACGCACACATATACACATAATATACACGTACACATCGACATACACATTCACACACATTCACACACACAGCATACACACAACACACACACAACGCACACACGCACGCACGCACACATATGCACACATAAAATACATATACACATAGACATACACATGCACACACACAACACACAACACACAGCGCACACACGCACACACGCACACATACACACACACTATACACACATACACATAGACATACACATGCACACACAACACACACAACACATACACAACGCACACACGCACACACGCACACATATACACACACTATACACATACAGACATACACATGCACACACACAACACACAACACACAACACACACAACGCACACACGCACACATAAATACATAATATACACATACACATACACATCGACATACAATGCACACTCAACACACAACACACACACACAACGCACACACGCGCACACGCACACATATACACATACTATACACATACACATACACATAGACATACACATGCACACAACACACACACACACATCGCACTCACACACACACACGCACACACGCACACATGTACACATAATATACACATACACATAGACATACACGCACACGTACGTTCGCCTTTTGAGCTTTGTGTGTCAACAAGATCAAATGCGCCGCAGGCCTTGGAAGCTCCATAGGCTCCGATAAGTATTGCAGGGCTCGCGGGCCCCGCGCGTCTGGCAGGCCCACGCTTCCACAGGTCGAGTGCGATAGCTAATGCTGATGTGCATGTTCATGGTGGGCGGTGCGGCGCTCCTGCTCCTGCACATCCACTTCGGCACCGCCTGCACCCCTGGGCCTCGCCCACTCCTGCCGCCTGAGGCCCCGCCTTCCTGTGCCCTGTCTCCCTGATTAAAGCTGTGCGTAGTCCGCCTAGCTTTTAGCGGAAGAGGTTCGCTCTCGCCCCGCAGACCAAAACATGTTCATGGTGGGCGGTGTTTTGCTGTGATCGTGAGGGCTGGTGCAAGCTACGCTGTTCAGTTGATGCATCTGATGGCGCTGACGATCGCGCGTCCGTCATATTTTGGACCAAGTCGTCTTTGCGGGATCAGTTATCTTTCCCCTTTGTGCGTCCTTGGTGACATCGGCTTGCGGGGCTCCCGTCCTCCCGTCCTCCGAGTCGTCGAGCATTGCGTCTGTCGCACAGCTCGGCGCCGCGCCCGGCGTCGCGCCTGGCGCGCTTACTGTTGCTGCCAGCCCGAGGCCACGACTGCCGCCATTGTTTGGCGCCGGTTGCGCGATCTCGAGCTCGACGTTGCGCCCGAGGTCGCGGCAGACGGGCGCGTCAACCGCGCCCGACGTCGCCAGCGGTGAACTGCGCGGCGCTCGGGCTTATCAGCCCGACCAACCCGACGTGCATATCCACCCTGGCGCGGCGCCCCGTCCTCGCGGGCTCGCCGAGCTTGCCATCGAGCGCGACTGGGGCCGAGGCCGCGCAGGCTCCGGCCCCGCCCGAGGCCGGGGTTATCTGGGCGGCCCTGCACCAGGCCGAGGCGAATCGGAAGGGGCCGGCGGACAATGAGGAGGCGCGGATCGCGACAGACCAGCGGCAGCGCCTCCGCATCGAGGCCGAGCCCCCGCGGCGACGCTGCTGGATCAAGAGGCTGCCCGCGGAGGCGAACCTCGCGCGCGAAGCGGCGGCCGTCATCGAGACCGCGTCGGCGACCGGCTCGGTGGCTGGCGCTGCGGCTCGCGCGCCGGCGGCGGCTGACGCGGCGGCTGGCGCGGCGGCGGCTGGCGCGGCGGCGGCTGGCTCGGCGGCGGCGGCGGCCGCCTCGGCCGCCCGCGCGGCGGCTGCGAGGGCTGAGGACGAGAAGGGCGAGGGCGAGGGCGAGTTTGTCGAGTGCCAGTGGGGCCCTCGCGACGCCGACTGGGAGCTCGGGCTCGTCGAGCTCGAGCGCGGGCGCTGGCCGCGGCGCCGGATCCGGGGTGGCCCCGCGGGCGCGCCGAGCGCCATAGTCACTCGACCGCAACATGTACAATCGGCGCAGGGGTTGTCGTTGCGATTTCCCTCCTCCCTGGATCCCACCGCCGGGCCCCGATGTTCCCCCGCGTTGCAATCATTGCGCGTGTCTCGGGGCTCTTCTGCCCTGGGGCCCTCCACGATGTGCATCTTGTTAGGCCCCGCGTGACACCCGATGTAGAACTGCGCTTTCGATGGCGCCCCGACGACGCGCGCGCGTTAATGTTGAGCTCCGCGTGGCTCTCAATGACGGCACCGCGCCCGCATGTTACGCGCGCATCTCCCAGGACAGCGCGCGTGGCCATTGATTGACGACCGACGCCTAGAGGCTGCTGGATGCCGGAGGCGTCGGGCGTCGCAGGAACCCCGGGGCGGTCAGGGAGGCATCTGGGTGTAAAGTCTGAATGTCATTTCGCGTGGCGATTGTTTCCGCAGATCCGCGGGGCGGCTCCCGCCCGCGCTCTCGCGCCGCCATTCTCCGCGGAGCTCCCCGCCTTTGCCCCGGGCCCGTGCTGCCCCCGCTCTTTTCCAATCCCCTTCTGCCCCTTCCGCGGGTAGCCTCGGCGCCTCCGTCGAGGCGCGCGCGCGCGTCTCGGGCCGGCGGGCCGCGGCGCCGGGTCCGGGGCAGCTCCGCAGGCGGGCGCCGCCGCATTCCGCGTGGGCGTCCTCGCGCTTGCGCGCGAGATCCTCCGGGTCCAAAGCTCGGGCCCCCGCCCCCGAGCCAGCGTGCGAGA